GTGGCTTAAAAATAGACCAGAGCATGCCAAGTCCTTTCAGCCTCACAGCTGGTGGGTAACCCTTTGCAAATTGTACTTGTCACATACATTTCAAGTGGGAGCTTGTTTGTAGGAAGGGCAGCCTGTGCAGCCCAGAAAAGTTTTACTTTTCTGATATGTATATTTTTTTGCACATGAACATGATTTGTTTGTTTGCAGTCCAGCCTGGTTTTAATCACTTTGAATTAAGCAGCTGATCTTATTACCAATCCAACTATGAGAAGGCTTACCACAGGTTCCTTGGCACATGACAGAGATTACTCTATCGGTGCAGCCACATCCAAGTAACGTGACGTATCCTCTCAGAGCTATTTTCATCTTCACCCTCCTTTGGGATCTTGATCCTTTGGTTTCTCCAGCCAGTGACCAACTAAAACCTTCTTAACGCTACGGAAACCCCAACTACGTAATCGGGCAAAACCTTCTTAATACTACGGAAACCCCAGCAACGTAATCAGACGAAGGGAAAAGCTCTGCCATTTCTTGTGGCAGACGTCATTTGCTTCCTAGGGCTTTCATTAAATTGAGGGCAGGATAATTTTGACATAATGGACCTGACTGTGTGTGTAATTAAAAGCAAAATAAAAATAGGCACTATCAGGGAGTACACTGAACATAGTCTAGTGCTGGGTTTGAGCATGAGATTGAAGATGGGCAAAGAGCACGTCCTCTTTCTTGAACAGAGCTGAAGGATACAGGGTTTACTCCAGTCCTTGCAAAGAATTAGTGCATGGGTTTAACGCTGAACACTTACCAGTCTCCTCTGGAAAAAGGCAGGCTCAGGACTAAAGGTCAGCAGAGTTTAGACAACAGCTCCAGATCCCTGGTGGACTGGAGCAGCACAGCTGCCACTTCACTTTTAGCCTCTGGGATCTTCATGAACAAGTCAGAAAGAAATGCCTAATGTCCTATTTAGCTAAAACTGCACATCTTCAGAGTGAAGTAAGGAATGAGGAGAGTCATGGGTTTTGTGGTAGAGGTGCTGGGCTGGAATGTACACACTGTATGTCCCCCTCTCACCACAGGTACATCACTGATCTTCAGTTTAATCTCTCTGCCACCAGTATCCCTTCTGCACACAGGATGCAGTGACGTTGCTTTGACCATCCTGTTTCAGCTGGCAAGTTCTTTAGGTCAGGGATAATATGCAAGTATGCTGTTCTGGTCCTTGGGGTCTGGGCTAGGCATGGGGAACCCTCTGCTGCTCTGCTTTGTTAGACAGGAGACAGAGACCGGTCATCCTGTGCAGAGACACAGCGGCGGAGCTGCTGGCAGTCACTAGACAGGATTTGTTCTCCTTTGGTGAGGACATGCCATGTGAGGAGGTGGATGGCAGCCCCAGGCACTCTGTTCAGCTCTTATGAATAATAGCTGTTGCTGACACCTCGTGGAAGCCTCACACAAACATTTTCTCAAAAACCTTTCGGTTTCATTTCTTCTCCTGCTGCTTGTTCCCCTGATGAGCTTGTCCTTCGTTTCTGTCATCTCAGGGCCCTTGGCTACCTGCAGCACCAGGGATGGGAAGGCAGCAAGGAAAGTTGCCTGGGGCTGCCTGATAAGCAGTAGTGCACATCTTCTTGCATGGTGGTGAGTGAGGGCTGTTCATCCCGTATGGCTGTTGCACATCAGATGCAGAGATGAAAGCACCTCCTTGCTATATCCACCTGGGTATGTAACACCTGGGTCACGTACATGCCTTTTGTGTGTCTCTTCACCCATCTCCATTTTTTAGGGGAGCATTTTCGAAAGTAGTTGTCCTTTCATTTCAAAATATCAAATCAGTTTGGAAAAGATAGAGAAGTTTTCCTGGAAAGTGCAAAAATATTTTCATTTGATAAACAAGACAGCTGATTAGAGAGTCAGCAGTGATCTGGGTTGGGGCAATCCTCCTGACTCCCTTGCTGGAATCATCAGACAACATTGCCCTGTCCAGGTGAGGAGCCACAGGCTTGAACCATGCCCTGTTCTCATGACTCACCATTGCACTGTCTTGCATCCACATCTTTTTCCTCCTCAGTCTTCATTTGTATTACAGTCAGCCTCTGCTTGCTTGACTTTGTGTGAATCACAATTTCACACTGAGCCAGAGCTACCCATAACCTTGACTGCTCTGCTTTCTCTGCTGTGTTATAGGGTTAGCTCCATCCTGATCCATGCATGAAACAAAAATCTGCTTTGGAAACAACAAAGTAAGCAAATCTTCCCTTGTAATTCTTGTTTCCTGGTTTCGCTGAGCAAATTCCAAAAATCTGTTTCTGAAATGGTTCTTGGTGGAGTAGGTTGCCCAGAGACCTTGAGGAGTCTCCTTCCCTGAAGGTGTTAAAAAGCTGCTGGACACAATCCAGAGTAATGTGCTCCCAGGGACTCTGCTTGAGCAGGGGGGTTGGACTAGATGACCTTCAGTGGTCTCTTCCAACCTTACTCATTTTTGATTCTTGAGAGCCCAAATGAAGCTCTGATACATTTTGTTTTGGAAAGGAAATCTCTCCAGTGGCTCTGTAGGAAGTATGTAATGTGAAGGTTGACTGCTGTCAGACATCAGTCCCAGCTGATGAGAGGCTGACTAAATCTCTCAGCTGGTGTCATGGATTTGTTGATGTTGCCCATGAGTGGGATTACCCAATTTTTAAGGCTTTGAAACTTATTTTTTATTCTGGTTCCTTGATAAAGTGGTCTGGCAGAGTGAGGTGGGTAGCAAGGTGATGAGCTCCTTCTGCTGCAGGTGTTTTGCAAGCTCTCAGGGATGCTCACAGGCTGTCATCAGTGTCCTCTTCACCTTGGCTGGGTTCACAGCTCACGTCTCATTAAGCCTTGATTTTGGCACCTGTAATAAAATAACCACATTCATCCTTTTAGAAATTTAGGGAAATCCCCAGAGCTACAGCAGAGATTAAATTTCATCCAGCATATCACAGAGGGAAGCTGAAAAGTGTGCTTGGGCCTTAAAAGTCTACAGAGCACCTTTTGGGACCTTTTCTGTTTCATAAGCAAGTGGTCAAGAGGGGTCAGAGAGCTCCTGGTGCCTGTGGATGATTTTGGCCTTCAGCTTGATGTTGGTTGTTAAAAATATTTTCCCAGATGTATTAATACGACCAGACTGGATTGCATCTGAGCTGAACATTGTGAGCCTGAGGCAGGACATAAATATAGAAGCAAAACAGGCTGACATAAGAGTCATCTGTCCTCTTCTACGCAAGAAGTGAAGGGGAAAGAGAAGGGAACTTACTCTGTTGCAATTTTTAGATACTTTCAGGAATTAGCCTGAGCCTCAGAGAGTGCCTGCCTGGGGTCCTGAGGCACAGAAGCCCCCACGTATCCCTCTCTCAAACCCTGGTGGGCTGTGCCAGAGGATTGCACACTCAGCACCATTTTAACCCAGGCTTAGATCTGCCTAGACAAGGTCTGCAATCAGGAGTAACTATTTGTTTAATGTGTTTGCCTAACAGGATTACCCTTATCATAATGATATAGCAACCTGGCCTTGGTAGAACAACCCCCAAGGGCACAAGGGGTCATGTCCTTGTGTCCATTGCCCCAAATATGCACAGCATAGCTTGTCTCTTATCATGCAATATCCAGCCATGCTTCAGTTGGCATTCAGTGCTCTGATTTGGGAAAGAGAAATTGTGCCAGGTGTTGCTGCCTGCTGACATCACACTTGGCATTTCTCTCCCCACCTAGAAAAAAAAAAAATCAATAATATTCAAAAGTTAGAAAAATGATGCAATGTTTTATAATTAGAGAATAGGATGGCTTCCCCACTGGAAATTGCTCTGAACAGACGCCTGACTGAATTAAATGTGAATTTGTTGCCCTGGCTCCCTAAGAACCAATGAATTGCCTACCTTTTGTGTTGTATATCATGAACATGCCTTAAAATCCTTACAAAATCATCTGTTTGTCTATAAAAGTACATTCAATTTTGCTACTTAAAACATTCAAGGAAGGTTCAGGATGAAAACTCAGTTTTCCTGTAGATAACTAGGATAAAGGTTTTGGTAAGGCAGAGCCTGGCACCACAGAGGATTGGTACCCAGACTTATTCACTCCAGTTTCTGGCCAGGTTGGGGACACTTCCTTGTTCCCTGTTGGTGTCATTTTAAACCCTGCACTTTTCAGGCTGGTGGATGTGAGCCTGTCCTCACCAGCTCCCGGGCTATTTGTGGAAGCAAAACCTCTCGCTCACTATGTTGCCAGTTCCAAAACAAGCAGGATCCTCTGTTTATAATGTTCTATAATTGGCCTGAATGAAACCTGTGGTTCAGGCTGTAGGGCCCAGGACTGCTGATGCAGCAGCACCCTAATTCCAAGCAATGCTGCTGGGAATGCCAAAATGGCTTTGCATAAAGCTGAGGGATGTGTAGGTACATAGTGTTAGCGGTATGTTCACAAGCTCCTGTTTCTGGAGCAGGCTGTGCTTGTCAGGGCTGTGCAGATCCCCTTCTCTAGATGAGGTTTGCTGGGATGGAGCCTCCTTGGAGCAAAGCAGAGATATCCTCTTTCTGCAGCAGCTTCACTGTGTAGAGGCTTGGGTTGCCATGGGGAGCATTACCCTAACCATCTTTATTTTCTTTTTTTCCCCAAGGCATTTGTAGCTGGTATGTGAGTAGGGCTCTGTGACTCAGAAATTACCTATCCAACCATTGGGCCTAAATTATTTGAGTTCAGCTCTGATTAGTGTACATTTATTTTGGTGGCATGTGTGGCTGTTCAGACCCTGCTGTTCAACATGGAACTGTTCTGACCTTGTAACTCATCACAGGACAAACTCCTGTCTAAAATAAAGCAAAGCAGCCCACTCGCTTTTGTTTAGAGACTGGTACACACAGTATAATGCCCACCCAAAAGTTGTGTTTGATCTGGCTTTGGTATAAGAAAGCCCTCTGCTATTTCAGCTCTAAAACACAATAGATATGTGGCCAAGCAGAAAGATTAAAAAAAGAACTGGCCAATGCTTTGCGTGTCTTAGAGGACTTATTTTTATTCCCATTTGTTCATTCTCTCTGCTCTTGGCTGCTGCTGGGTCTGTTGAAATAACAAACAGGGATGAAGAAAGAGGGCAGCTCTGTCGTGAGCTTCCTTCAGTGGGAAGCGGCTGTGGTGCAGCAGTTAACTCCAACGGCGCCTGCAGCCTCCGCAGCTCTGCCGCCAGCAACCCAACGGGAAACTCGTCCTGTTTTTCTGAAAAAAGATTGGATGATCAGTCAAAAGCCTTTTTGCTGCAGAGTGGTGTTTAGAAAGAGTCTCTCTTTTGCTTTGTAAAAAAGTGGTCAGAAATCTTCTAATGCTGCATGCAGCTGCTCTGCTGCCAAGAAAACCTCCTGGGCCTGGTGATGAGGCCTCTGCAAAGTTTCCAGTTTCTCTGTAATTACTTTCTAATTAAATTTTCAAATCTAAGTACAATCAGGAAGTTAATCCATAGTGGGTTCATAATAGGATCTTTCCATTTGCTTTTTCTAAGTCAATAGCTATCCTCTGTGTAGAGGTGATAGATAATTTTGTGAATATAAAGGTGCTTAAAATCAGGGTAGCAATGCCTTTTACCTGACGCATTCAGCACTAGTGTAATTTCATGCACTCTCCATTTGGAAGCACTGCTTTTGCATAAAAAATTGTTGTAACTGCCTGATCAGATTTGGTCATTAGTATGTCTACTCATGGCTTATTAATTGGCTGGGGCATTATGGTTCAAGCTTCCCTTGCCAGGATTTTCCTCTACTCCTCCACATGCAATTTAGGGAAATGAGAGGACTGATGTTTCCGAAGTGTTGCAAGAGTTTTATGATGCCTCCACTGCAGAAAACAGAAATAAAATAAGGTCTAAAAAGATGATGTAAAGTAACTGGGAGATGAAATACATGACAAAAACGTGTAAATAGTGAAGCTGAGAAACAACTGAACTCAGCTGCTAAGCACTACACTAAGGTCAGCTTGCTCCCTGCCACCACCTTCAGGGGTCCCAGTGGTCTCCTCCCCTTTGGCTCTGCTCCCTGGATCTCTCTATAGCCCTGCTTGGATACTGGGACCAGGACAGGCTGACTGGGCTCACCATTCCAGGGCTGCCCACAGTGGAGCAGCCACTGTTGAGGTGAACAGAGAGTTTGGAGCACATGCAGGGCTTTTCACTGCAGAAAGGGGTGAAGCAGACTTGGACAAAGGTCTTGGGCTCCTTCGGACTTTTTGCAGCTCTGTAGATAGAGTCCATCCTGGCCACACGTCCCATCTGTGTACCCCAGGTTTGCCAACACAGTCTGTCACCAATGGGGGCTGTTCTGGGCTCTTGTGAGTGCTGCTGTTCAGCAGCTCACTCAGAGCTGGGTACAGCATCACCTGCTGAAGCACCCAACAGTGCCAGTGGGAATTTCAGTCATGCTGAGGAGCTTTGTAGGATATAGACAGAATTACTCAGGGTCACCTCTTCACATTTCTGCTTTGTTGCTGTCAGCCTCTAGCCCCGCTCTCCTGCCCCCAAACTGGAGATGGCAGAATAAGAAGTGCCTGTGTCCTGGTTTACAGCCAGGTGTTTCAGCTTAAACCACTGAAGAAAGTGAGTCTGGGATAATATACCAGTGTGATAAAAGGAGGTAAGCCTTGGAGTAAGGTCTGTGCTTGGCAGAGGTAATACTGTGGGGTCGGGTTTTTTAAATGATGTCAGCATTTGAGATCCCTTAGACTTGTGTTTTGGTTAAGCCCACAAGAAAATAAGAGTGCATTTGAGTTTACCCTGGAAACCTGGCTGCTGTCTCTGAGGCACAAATGCTCCTAGAGACAGCCTGCTCTTGCAATTCATGTATTCTGTGAAGCAGAAAGAAAAACATATTGGCCAGGGCTCAAACACCTTTCTTGGTTGTCTTGGTGATAAGTGTTTGATAAAAGTTCAAGGTCTTTGCTTGCTTGTATAGAATAAAAGCAGCTTTGCTTAAGTTACTGCTGGCACCCATGGTTTTCCAGAGGGTGCTGATCTGTTGTTCCCAGTGTCTGGGCTATTCTTGGTGAGTGAGACAATGTTGTGTTGTGTGGGTTGTAGTTTGTCCAGTGACAGAGGTGACCTTTCAGTCTGTGGCATGCAGCAATGGCTGTGCCATGGCAAGCATTTGCAGTAAGCTGGATGCTCCCTCTGAGGGGTTGGGGCTTTGTGGAAGGAGTATGGGAAGGTGGCACAAGCCCACTGCGTTGGCAGCCTGCTGCAATGGCCCTGGAAGCGAGCCAAAGGTAGCTGCTGTGTTAGCACCATCATTAGGTTTCAGAGCTGGCAGCACGTGGAGATGTAAAGGCAAGGGGAGCCTCCTTGGTGCTGCCACTTTCAGCATTTTGTTGTCTGGGGAAGAAGGGACTGGTTCTCTAATGCTTGGTTTGTGCCCTGAGAGACTTAAGTGTGTTTGAGGGCAGGATTTTTATAGCAGAAGTGTGAGGATGGTGGTGGGGGGAGAGGTGAGGCAAGGTCAGAGCAGTGGGATATGACAGCCAGGTTTTCTCTCAGGGCTCCAGGGGGCTGAAACAGATATCAGAAACTGAATTCTTTGAGTCACCTGCAGTGGTGAGAATGCAGCTGCACTCCCTCTGCTGCCTTCAGCCCCTGCTCTCATGGGGCTTCCCCAGCTCCATCTGCCTGACACCATGGGCAGCTTCCCAAAGCTGGAACCTCAACTGCTTTCATTTCTGCACAGGCCAGCTAGTCATTTCCCACTTAGAAACAAACATTTTGGAGACACCAGAGAAACTGAGTCACCAAGAGGACAAAGTTCTGTTGCTTTTAAAGTGGCTCATTCACCAGTGAGTTTCACTGCACAGCAGCTCAGCCACCGCTGAACAGAAACATACAGAGAACAGGAAAATGTGCTTCTGGAGCACGCCAGTCTTTCACTCATCAAGTTGACTTCCATTTAAAGTGTTGTACTTGAGGTGGCTTTGTTCTGAGATTTGTTTTAATCTGTCTTGAGACATCTCCTTCTTCCTTATATGTAGAGGTCTTCCTGGGTTCCTCTGAGGACGCTTGCATTGGCAGTGCAATGGAGATCTGAGGCGTGGTTGTTGCTGCAAGCTAAAGTCAAACAATTCCCCTCAATCCTTGAAAAAAGGAGGAATCTGCTCACCCATGTTTAACTGGTGCCTGGCTTCTGCACTTTTCTAACCTTCATTTCCACTTGTGACCTGTCCATAGGTGTGTGCTCACACTTTCCTCCTGCTGGCCCGGGCAGGGCACCGTGCGCCTGGTGTGCGGTTCCACACTGACGTGGTTCTTGAAAATCCAGTGTGACTGAGGACATGCACAGCTTGGAGATGAATTATTGCCAAGTTTCCTGGAGTATTACTCAGCACTGCTGGAAATGGCCCCAGGGATCAACACTCTTGCAAATGATCAGCCAGCCCCTTCCTCACAGAGGTCCTTATAGGAAAATGTTTGTCTAAAGTGGAAAATTGTTTTTAAAAAAAATCTCAGAGAGAGGGATAAATAATCAAAAAGCAGTGGGAAGCATTTAAATCAAATTTTAAACAGCATAGTGGACATTTTAGTTGAGAGACTTATACTTGTCTCATTAACACAAAAAAATCCAAACGTAATTATTTACCTAAAGCTCTGTCACGAGGGGTGGATGCTGCCAGCCTGCAGGGCTGAGCCAGAGCCCCAGATCCCACTGCTCGTGCTCTGTCCACAGGCTTTGGGCTGGCACAGGCACAGTGCTCCTTCTTGCCTGCCACAGCCTGGTAAACACGGCTGGCTTGTGCTCCAGCTTAGCACAAGCTCGGTCAGGCACCTGAGAAATCCAAGCCAAACCGAAGTGCGTTCGGCTGCTGAGGATGGAGTTGCTGTCAATTTGTTTTTCTCGGCTCGGCAGTTTCTCCTGAGATCTCCATCAACCAACCGGTGCTCGGTGTCGCACTGTCCTGCCTCGGCTCCTCGTCCCGGGAGCTGTGTGTGTCCCCAGGCTGGCCCCGAGGGATGGGGAATATCAGATTCCTTCTGTCTTTTAAAAATTTATTTTATTTTTTTAGGACGCTTTCCCCTAAAGTGTTTAAAGCTAGGAAAAAGCTCCAGAAGCTGTAATAAAATCGGGACCACGATACAAATCACCAGGGCTCTTCCTACGGGCATTTCGGCCAAAGTTGACTCGCGGCGCCTGTTCCAACCTGCAGCAGCCGCGAGTGCATCAGCAGCCAAAGGTTCCCCCCTGCAGCACAGTGACAGCTACTGCAGGTGCCCCATCAGCTGGAGCTCATTTATCCATGAGGACTTTTCCTGTTAAAAAAAAAAAAAAAAAAAAAAAGAAAAAAAAAAAAAAAAGGAAAAAAACCCCTATCTTGTGCTGATAAAATCCAGAGAAAATTCTACTTACTTCAGCAAAAGCACATGGAATTGTTAATATCATGACAGAATTGGCAATTATTTGCACTACTTTTCCTTTGTGGGACCCCATCTGGGGAGTTTCCCAAGGAGATATGTTGGGCCATGGGTCGTGATATAATGACTACGTCCACGGGTCAAAATTTTGCTCCTCATCCATGTTGAGGCATGAAGAAAAAATGGGCTAAAACTTTATGTGGTTCAAGGGACAGCTGAAAAATTTCATAGTGAAATGTGCTGAGGGACTCTAAGGCAACACCACAGTCTAAGGACAGGGCTAAGAATCAAACTGTTTTTGGGGGGTTTTGGTGGGGAGAATTTTGGTTGATTCTCTGTTCTGGTAATACCCCCTCTTCTGGGTGCACCCGGGACTGGTGGACCTTCACATGATCCAGCCCCACCACCCTTATTATCTCATGGGCATCTGTGCCAGTGCTTGCCAAAGCATTTGGGCTTGCTGTTGCTTCAGGCTCTAGCCAAATTTAGGCAAATGCAACTAAATGTACTACACAGAGGTCACAGATGAAATGCACTTTCCAAGTTTACCTGATTAGATCCTTTTCTAAAGGAAAACTGAACTCCTGAAAAATGTGGTGGCTTTGTGCATCACCTAAACCAAGAGCATCCACATAAGTATATCTTGACCTGCCCCATTTTAGGGATGCAGTGGGGCTTGGCCAGCAGTTGGCAGAGGCTGATAAAGCAGTTGGGGTGCTTTGTTCCCCTCTTACATGCACATCCCCTGAGCTCTTAGCTGGCTGCTGGCACAGCCCTCAGTGTAGCACAGACTGTGTTTCTCATATGAAATTCAATAAATTCAGCATTTTCAGGACCTCGGTATAATCAGGGTTTTCAATCTTCTCCTTCATTGCCTTCTAATATACCCTCCTAACAATTAACTCTGTGTGCTGGGAGAACGCCAAATGCAGGGTAAAAGACTTCGTTTTTCTTTCCCATAATTAAATGTTGTGTTCGCTGCTGTCTTTCCCACTCGATTAAGTGTCCGTGTATGGTCTAAAATGCTCTTTGGTGAATTAGCATAAAGTCTGTCAGGATTTCAACCAACATTCTCCCTCCCACTGCATCTGTGCAGTTCACAGAGGGCAGCGGTAGCCAGCAGCAGGGGCCTGGAGATGGATTTATTGCAAACCTCTCCCTGGTTTCCCTCCACACTGCAGGCCAATTGGGGCAGCTAGCTGATTAGAGTCTTTTTTGTTAATTACATCTAAAGACATATTGGAGAAATATTCCCCAAGCCAGACTCTGGCAACATCTACAGCACTGCATGTGATGGCAAAAAAATATAATCGGTTGTCAAGGAGTACTAGAAGTGTGAGTTATGGGCTGGGAGGTGAAATAGCAACTTTCCACCAGTTCAGGATGAGCTGGAAGTGAGATGATGACTGGGGTCCTCAGCATAAGATGAGCAGTGTGGTTATCCTTGTTGGCAGCCCTGTCCTAGGCAATGACCACTTTCCCCAAAAAGCATTCCCTGGAGCCAGTGCACTTTTTGCCACATTCCCCATGGCTGCTCTGTGCCACTCAGTTCCAGAGTCTGTTAACTCAGCACTAAACCATGTCCCAAGTGCCACTTCTGCACATCTTTTAAATACCTCCAGGGACTGTGACCCCATCGCTTCCCTGGGCAGCCTGTTCTGTGCAGCACCTGAACAGCTGCTTGTTCTGGGCAGCTTGATCCCCATTTCAGTGAAGAAATATTTCCTCATATCCAGTCTAAACCTCCTGGCACAATCTGAAGCTGTTTTCTCTTGTTCTAATGCTTGTTTCTTTAATTTTCATATTTCTTTAATCTTCACAACCTCTGGTTTGTTACCAAGTCCAGAAGGACTTGGGTCCATTATAAGTTGGGAAAAAACTTAGTGGGGAGGGGAACAGAGCTGGCAGATAAACCTGGAATGTGACAGTGAGTTCCAAGCCCTCCTTGTCCAGAGATACCTTTGTTCCCTTAGAAGGGATTACACTGGGTAGGATCTCATACTCCTGCTGTTTCCCCAACTCCTCCTGCAGTTCTCTCGGTGTCCTTTGGATAAACAGCTGCAGAAAGGGAGCCTTTGTTTCCAGAAGCGTTGGGGGAATGGCTCGTGGTGGTACAGATAACCCTGCCTGTTGAGGAGAGGCTGCAATACAACTGGGAGGGTACACAATGAATTATTCACCAGCTGTTTCCTCTCCTTTCAAGACACTTTCTGTAAAAACAGGGGCTGGAAGTGGTGCATGTGAGATATGCAATCAACAACACAGAAGGAGTTTGAGCTTTTGGCTTGCTGGGTACTCAGACCATCCGTCACAAGGAACTGGTTTGTGCAAACCTGTGTCTGGACCTCCATGATGTTTGACTGCAGGTGGCCCATAAATGTGTTTTCTTTTTCTCTGAATGCCTGCTGAAGACCTGAAAATCTGATTTACAGAAGTGCCAGGTGCCTGCAGCTTTGACACATGCTGGTAGGAGTGATTCTTTAAACACACAGAGAGAGGCACAGTGCCATGCACCCCTATGATTGGGCTCTTGAGGCTTTCTGCTTGGGCTTCTGGCCGTTTGCAGCCTCTCCTTTGCCTGGTCCAGTCCCCAAGGAGGGGACAACGACAGCCCCTCCCTCCTTGGGCTGTAGACAGGGGAGATGTTCTCACCTTAGTGAGCACTGGGCTGCATTGGTGAGGTACAGTGGGAAAAAAAACACGAAAAAAAATACAGGTCCCCATGTCTGAGTCCAGCACTGAGCAAAAACAATTGCCTAAGATGTGAATAACAGGCATTGCTGTTTTTTTTTTTTTTTTTCTTTTCTTCAACCTGGCTATTCAAACTGCCATGAAAAATATGTCTGTTCTTTTCTTTTATAACCTCTTACAAGCTCTCAATTTTAGCCTCCACTCCCCAGAGCCCATAAAATAAATGGGTAGAAACACCATAAAAATGAACAAAATCCCAAACCATAGCTAGTTCATATTCTGAGTGTATCATTAAATGCATATTTAGGAAAATCTCTTATCTTACATAAATATGTAATTGTTTATAAATCTGTAACTGATTTTAAGCTATTTGAAACAGCCTTATAGTAGAATGACCTTCTAGAAATTGAAGGTGGTGCCAGATGACTGCACTAAAGGACAAGAACAGATTAGGTGTGAAATACCTCTGTTTTAATATATTTGAAAAAAATTCCCAGAAAAATTACAAGTTAAAAAAGAAGTAAAAATGCTCGTTTATTTCAATGTTTTTGGCTGTAAGTAATAAGAATATTTTCCTCCTAGGAGCTTAGCAACCTGCCATACCCAGGAACTGAGGACTTAACCAGGAATCAGCTGGGCAGGCCACCTTCCTCTCCTGCTGTCACTTTTTAGCAGTGGGTACTCATCCTGCTTTCTGCCATCACCTCCACCTCTATAGGGCAACAGCACAGATATGAGAGAGGTTACTGAGAAAGGACAGTATATCCTTGTACTGCGTTTGCCTGTTTTCATAAGAGCTATCTCAGAGATGGAAACAGTCTAATGTGCCTGCAGTTCCAGGGGAGCACATGGCAGGAGAAACAGAGGAGTAGACATGAAAACAAATGGACACACACGTTGTGTTTCTGTTCTTCATGCTGGGTATTGATGTGCAGTGCACTGAACACCTGGCCTGTGCAGCCAAATCCTACCTGATCCCCTGGGCCTGGATGCAGAGGATGAGAAGTGCTCCCCAGTCTGAGTCACACGCTGACAAGGTCTGGGCATCAAGGCGAGGCTTGCCCAGCCATTTTCCAACCCTAGCCAGGTCCTATTCCAAGAAATAAAGAGAAGGTTAAGTTCTGCATTCTCCTTCAGTATTGCCCCCAGCTGAGGAGCAACCTTCACAGGTGCCCTCCTGCTCCCAAGTGTACCTTTGTCATGAAACCAGAGGATGACTCCAGGCTTTCCTCAATCTGCCTGGGGAGAGAGGAAATGGGATCCTGTCTCTTAAGGGAAGGTGGAAACAGCTGAGCTGGTAAGAAGAAAATACATCCCTGTTTTTTCTGTGCCTGGGCTCCAGGACCAACTCCCTCTCTAAGTGCTTTGGAGGGGACTTAAAACGTTGCTGCCCCTTTGGTGGAGACTGAGCTGGCCCCCAGAGTGGGGCTGAGCCTGTGCTGCTGCCACGGATGGGTGCACGATGACAACCCACATGATGACATTCCCAGCAGTGGGTACAGTGAAGTGCTGCCAGATGATGACACCTCACACGGTCCCAGGGATGCTTTTAGATTCATCTATTAATAGCTCCCTGTGTTTTCACTTCTGGAAACATAAATATGTATCCCCAAATGCTCCTGATTGTCACATGCCTGGAAGTCGGTAAATTGGAGACTGATTTCAGATCTGTCCAATGTAAGGCTCTGTGATTGATCAGCATGTCTGGAGCCGTCCTTGCCTCACTCCTGTGCCAAAATCCTGGGAGTGTGTGCTCATCACAGTGACAGGCTGGGAACAATCTGAGGAGGAAAGCTGCAGGAGCTGGGTCAGTCCTGGAGCAGGCTAGCATAACTTCAGCTGATTTGAATGTGAATTGCACTCGTTTAGGCCAGGCCTGGAATTTGCCCCTGGCATGGGCTGGCTCTCTGCAGCTTCATTTGTTTTTGACCCAAAATACTGTCCGTGGGAAAAGAGCTGAGCAAAAGCAAATAATGGTGCCAGCCTCAGCTGTGACTTTGCCTATGAAAAATTCAGCTAATATGAGCGATCCTTACTTCTTGTGATCTTAGATTTTAACTTTTTTTAGAAATTGCAGTAGCTAATGAGTGCATACAAATGTGTGTGTATGGGATGCAAACACATAAACTCCCACCCATGAACACACACTCTAAATACTGGCTTATTCAAGTATAAGTGTTTTGGATCTGGATTTAAACTTCCTCCAGATTCAGTAATTTTGGAGTGGAGATTTTGTCACATTGTACTGCTGGGATGCTCAATGCAAATGTTGGGTTTGATCTGGCTGCTGACAGTTTCTTGGGTGATTTGTGTTCTGGGCTTTGTCACATGGTTCCCTCTCTGAACCCAAAAGTCTCTCTGGGCTCTGGACTAGCTGAACTGCTGGTTTTGGGATACATGGGTATGTTGGAAGGGCTCTCCCCAGATCGGAGATCAGCATTTCCACCTTTCCAAAAGGTCACGTTTTAGCATCTTTTCACTGTTGAGTGACTAAATTAAAGTGTTCAACCTAGTGGCAGTGCAGGAGGGACATCAGTGACCCCACTGACAAGAGCACATGTGCACAGGTGTGTTTAAGACCAAGTACAGTGAAATGTCTATCAAGAAGATATTTCCAGGTGATGACAAATTCAATCTGCTGAGAGAAGAGCCACCCTGAGCCATCCACAGCTGGTGGGACTATGTCCCTGTGCCAAACACTGCCTCTCCATCCTCTGGCAACATGAAAATCACCCAGGGTGAGCTGCTGCCTAAATGGACCTGCCAGCTTCAAATACTACCCTGAGCCACTATCTGATACAATTGCAGCTCTTCCTTTGATCAAAGAAAGCCACCTGCATTGATAAAGACTCATTCAGAGCTTTGACTCTGTGCCCTCTGCTCCAGGCAGGGCAGCCACCCTCAGGAGTGACAGAGGACACAGCTATGCCCTGCAGAGGTCATGCTTCACTCCAGGTGGAAATAGCATCTCTGGGCACCCTCTGGCCTCTTTTAAAAGTCCTGATAATTTTAAGTCCCACATTTGGCTAAGGTAAAACAATTTGCAATTCTAGTCACTCACATGAGAATTATTTTAGGATAAAGAGCAGAGGCATTTGCAGTCTGGTGAGACATTCCTCACAAGTATTAATTTGGTCTTGTTGCTGGGGGGACTTTCTAGAGAAAGGAATGGGGAAAATAAAAAAATAGAAAAAAAATAAAGCAGAGAAGGAAACTGGAAAGTGAAGGTCATGTCTTCCCTGTGTGGAAATGATCTTTACCATGGTGGTGAACTGTCCTTGTCTAGATCTCTGTGCCTGGGCACAGAAGGGGAGAGAACAGCAGTTTTGGCCCTAAAAATGCAGAAATAGGAGGTGATATTTTGCTTTCTTGCTGCTCACAGGGAGTCACTCAAAATCTACTGCAGTGTAGAGCAAAATGTGGCCATAGTGATCCAACTGCTTACCAAGCTGGGGAGGGCCTGAAGTCAACTAATTTGTTAGCAGCCTGTTTGTGTAATGTAATCCCTTGTTAGCCTTGAAAATGCTAAATCAGGAGTGAAATCAAGATTTTTCTCACCACAAGATTTAGTTTAACCTTTCCAAATGGGATAATACAGCAGAATGCTGCCTTTATTGGAGCTGTTTTATTTCATCCCATTTTATTTCCTTGTTTGTTTTGAGTAGCCAAGGACTTTCCAATAGAATATCTTTGTGCTCTGAAGGCTGCTCAGAGCAGGTCATATTAATGAACTGTGGATAATGTTTCAGAGAGCATCTCAGAAACCAGAGGCTGTGCCTCAAACCCAGGCTGCAAGCCCCTGGGCTATCCAACATCAGGCTTCCCATTCCAGCACCAGTTTTCCCCAGCACTACCGAGGCTGTATGAAACAAGCTACCAGTGAGATTACTGCATGGATGGGCTTTGCTTCTAAGGGACAGGAATCTCCATTAAAGAACCAGTGCAAGTTGCAGGGCACAATGTGCACAGTGCTGAGCTGAGTGGCACTGGTTTGGAGGCTGCTGGCACACGGAAACACTGGGAGATGGTGTGTCCTAGTGTTTAGTCCCCAAAGGCTGTCCCAGGATGCACGACTCGTACTTCATGGCCTTAAACTGCTTTTGTTCATGTTAGTGGCCCAGATGGCCGGGGAAAGGCTGGCCAGGAGAGCTCCCATGGTGGGCAGTCCATGCACAGCCTCCTCTGCCACTGCACTGGGGTTGGAGGGAGTTCCTGAGGGACGGCAGCAGGCTCATGGGCTACAGCCTCCCTTGCCTGCCTCAGTCCAGGAGCACCTTCTTCCCATGGTGGGAGAAAGGCATGAGAGCATTGGGAGGACTTTTGGGGAATCATTTGCTATGGGCTTTGCCATTCTTTGCCCCTGGTTTCCACCAGCAGGATTTGGTATAGGCTTGGTAGCAACGAGGACTTTCCAGCGGGTTCCTTAGGACTGGTCTGACAGAGGCATCCTGTGGGCGGTGTTGTGAAATCCAATCTGTTTTTTTTTCCTCTGTGACACAGATCTCGATTTACCTGCTTTTTTCCTGCCTACCAGCAACTCAAGCCAGCTGTGTTTTACACTGAACTCTTGCTTGAAGTCTTTGAAATTTCCACAACCTTCAGTCACAGATGTGAGTATGCTGATAACTGATTACAGCTTCCAAGGACTCTTCTATGCAGTCATCTCTGTCCATTGTGAAACAGAGATGTATGACAGAGAAGGAAATCAAGTAAGTGACAATGACAGAGTTGGTCATAAACTGAATGAATCAGCAAACACCCAGTTTTCAGTTATTTACTTTCAATAGACTAAATCTTCAGGGCTGAATTTTTCTCTTTCAGTTTCTCTTGGGTGTTTAAATCACATGCAGTACTTTGCAAATATAGATTTCCACCTCATGTGTAAAAACAATGAGATGAATAATTTTAGCACAGATGGATCTCATAATACTCTTCTGTTTCCAAATATTCCAGAATCCTTTTAGAGCCCTGGGTCCTCATTCCTGGTATTTGAAAGCTAATGTTTGACTCTTTTAATCTGAAATTCTATTCCATCTCTCAACTTCAAGGTTATAATTTTGCCCTAGAAAGGCTGAAGAAAATGAAGAAATTGGAAGACACTCTCAAGTACATAGCTTTTGAGATCATTGGTGATTTTTACGTTAGATAATCTGAGATTCTCTAATTTGTGGAACTGCAGCTGATAATGTCAAAAAAGGGTATTCAAGATAAGGTCCCTTTTAAGCAAATAGTATGTAAGGAGCTGACCAATATTAAAACCTCTTGAAAAAAACCCTGTGACACAAAGAAAAGTAGATGGTGTGAATGCAACCCAGCATGATTTCTGCCTGGTTCCACATGATGCTGGGTGGAGAGACTCAGGCCCAGAGCAGCTCACCTTCCTCTGACCCCTTGTTCACCATGGCTGCCCAAATACCCACAAAAGCCCCCGTGGCTGATGAACTCCTCACCAGGTGGGTGGTTAAAGCTACAGCTCCTAAGGACTGCCTTTCAGGTCCTTGCTGTTAGCCACTCATGCTGGACATAGAGGGCACTTAGAAGCTGGAAGGTTTGCATTGGGAATCTCAAAGAGGAGATGCTGGTTTTGGGTATCAGTCTTTGCTGGTATGTTCAGCAGCAGTCCTGGGATTTCAGCTGGAGGGAAGCTTGTTCTGTTAAGCTTTCTGCTGGGGGGAAAGTGGTGCCTGCAGGGAACCTTCCTCTGCCTTGGAAGATGAAGGTGGGCTGTGGCCTCCCTGGAGGATGCAAGAGCTGGGCTGGAGGCCAATGAGGCTTGTGTGTGTTTTGGAGGATGGAGAATTGCAGAGCTGTGCAATGCATAGGGGTTGGAAAGCCCTGTGAACCTGATGTTAGCAAGTTCAGTGTGGGATGTTCTCTGATATGGGAGAACAGACCTGTCCAAGTTATTCAGAACTGGGGCTTAAGGAGCAGGAGAGCCCAGGGCGGGCAGCTGGCAGTGTGAGGAGGGCACATTTGCAGACAGATGCCCTTGGGGGACATGTCCCAGAGGTCTCTCACAATGACTACTCACTGCTTTTAGGAGTTGTTGCTGTGCTGATTCAGAGACTCCCTGGACAAAGTAATTATTACTCTGGAAGTATCATCTTGCTGCTTCAGATGTGTCGCTTTTAGGCTGATTTGTGGCTGGGTCTGACCCTTCCAACAGCAACTGAACATTAACAGCTGAAGGCTTAACAGTAATATGCTTAGTGTAATAAGATCAATTATATTAAATGCCTGATTAAGAGCCCCAGGGACTGGAATCCTTCCTCTGCAGAGGCACCAGTGAGTGCCCTGGTACCAGTGGGTGAGGCTTCCCCTCTTCCAGAAGCTGTGTGTTCTACACTTCACTGTCATGTCCAGCCTGCTTTTAAGTGTAAATAGACATTTTTTCCTGTTCCTACCACTCTTCACTCCTGGTGCAGGTTGCATCAGGGACTTCTCTGACGTGGGTTTCTGCCCTTTGAGCTGGATGGCCATCACTGAATTGCTTCACCCTGGCTGCCAAACAGGATGTATCTGAGGGCACTGCTAAAGTGGGACTTGGGGGCACAGACCTTGGCACCTGAGCAGCTGTGTTCACATGGGGAGCAGTGCTGCAAAGCACCTGTGCATGGCCAAATTAACTTTACACATAATGGTGCTGTGTGCAAAGTGCTGCAGAAAGGGGGAACTGGCTCAGAGCAAGTTGGGGACAAATATGTTTCTACTTCTAGCAGCTCAGCCTTCACATTCCCAGACAAAACATGAATTTCAAATTGATGATATAGTCTACTAAATGTCTTCAACTCTCTATTCAATATATTAGAGACGCATAACAGAAATTTAGAAGAGAATTGAATCTGAATATTAAACCAGTGATTCCCCAGAGGGAAATTTTCTCAACTTGTCTGTTTCTCCAAGGAGATTATATTCCCAAAGAACTAATTTTGTAACTAATGATCAGATGAAATAAGTCTCTGTCAGAGGTTTGGAAGATCTAATCTGGCACCAGTTGAATGCATATGGAATTTGTCATCAGTCATAATGAAAAAAATTGTTTGAAATTTTTTCATTGAATGTGCATTTTTTTCACTGAAAGTGCACTTACAACTAAAACCACTGTTCTTCTCAGTCTGTAAGGTGAGTAAATAATTATGTACTCTGAAACCCATATCAAAGGGGGTGCTCTACCTTTCTGTACTGTTTTTCTTTTATTTAAAGCCCTTTTACAGAAACGAATGGAAGTTGTCATGACGTGAGAGGCAGAAAAGTTGCCAAATGTCTTGGAAACACAGGCAGCTACTTCTGGGAAAGTGGATAGCTAAGGGCTAACAGGAAGGCAACTGCCTGATTCCAAATTTAGATTCAATGTCCCAAAAAACATAAATCTGCTGAATTCCATCTCTGTCTATTCAGGCCTCTTAAAAATCTTGCACTTGAGATGCTGCATCTCAGGACTTTTGAAGGTAAGTTCTGTCCCCATTTGGCTCTATCAGAATGGCTGAGGAGATCACGGATTATTTATTCTTTATTATTTGCATATGCTGTAAAGTACAGTCATCTTTCAATGTGTTTAGCCCTGGGTAATGGAGGAACGTGCAGAGCACAGCAGCTTTGACCTAAGTGAAGGAATTGGAAAGAAAGGACTGGAGGAGGAAGGGTGCAGCTGGGGAGAGGTTGGTGCTGTTCCTCCCCTGGGTGGACTTGCCTGAGTGGGAAGAAGGTTCTTTGCTTTCCCCCTCACTCAGCAAGAGCAATGCTGGCCCAGCAGTAGGGACCATCTTGTGATTGAAACAAGCTATTGCTTAGGTGGGTGTTTGTTGGGTGAGGGGAGGATCTGGGTGGATGTGTGAGTAAAGAATAGGAATAAAACCAGAAGAGTGGGGAAGAGAAAGATCTGAGTAATGGGCCTGTGTGTGAGAGGCATATGAAATGTCCTGTGGAGTCCAAGAGTATATCCTCAGCAAAGGTGAGTGGTCAGCTGCATCCCACTGCCAAGCTAAAGGGCATTGTGCACTTCAGTCCAGTGTCTTGCACAGCATCTGCTCCCAGTTTTTAGGGGAAACCTGAGTGCTCTTTGCCTCCATGATTCCTCTCTCAGCAGGGACTGGCTGTTACCCACTGACCCAGGCTTGGAGAAAAAGCACCTCTTGTGCACTGATCTCCTTTTCCTTTTCTTTCTTGCATGGTCTCAAATAGAAAATGCACCAGGACCTCACCTGCATGGCTTTTATACCTGAATTATGGGTGCAAGGAATACAGACAGAGAAATCAAACCCAAAAAGTAGCTATGTGCCTGAATCTCACTGAATGTTGGTGAAAACTCCTTCATGGAGGGCTGTCAGCTAATGAGAGGGTATGAACCTTCCTGGCTGAGGTGGATCAAGAGAGGGAGAAGACTTTTGCTCTGTATATGAGTCCCTTCCTTCATGCCCTGCTGGGGTGCACCAATCTGACCTGTATCCCAACCAGGTGACACTCCCAGGAGACATGAGGATCCTTATGCTCCCACCCACAAACCTTTCCTTGCTTAGTGGCTGGTGGTGCCCAGAATTACCCCTGGAGGAGTGTGGAGGATGCCTTTATTGGTAGTGGGGTTGTGAGTGTCCAAAAGTTACACAGTCCTTGCAGCATCCCAGCCTGGATGAGCTTCCCCTCAGCAAATGCTCCAGTTGGATGACTCGGCAGTGCAGTCATGCAATGGCAGCTGTCCAACCCTGCAAACCACAGAGCAACAGAAACTGTAGACAGAAGTTGCTGGCTAGCACTTGAGGAGGGGCTGCAAGAAGCCCAAAGTAGTCTGGTTGGGCCATCTTTCCAAGGATAACTGGGACAATACCTGTCCCAGAGTGGCCTTGAGCTCCTGGTGTGACTGTTGGCATCCTGGGGTGGGTGAATGCTTCTATGGAGCAGAGGCACAGGAGTGTCTGTGCTGACCTGTAAACCAAAAATAGCCATGTTTCTTTTACCTTTACCTCTTTTTAGGTGGAGGAGTGGCTTGAAAGTTCAATTCTGCTCTCATTTGTGTTGGTTTTCTATCAAGCCCAGTCAAGAGTCTGGCTTGTTCCTTGGAGTTAATGTAATGAGCAGGCCAGGTCTTGCACTGATCCTCTCTTACTGGATTTGGAGTCAGGTTGCCAAGGAAAACCAATTCCTTGGGAAGCTGGGCAGCTTTCATAGCAGTTAGTGATGCCTCTTGGCTGTTTGTGTCTTCATGGGAAGCGTCTCTTGTGGCTCTGTCCTGTAGGAGCTGGTCAGGATTGATGCTGAAATCGCTCTGGGGAAAAGGGCTGCTCCAGCCTCCCCCAGGCTTTGTGGGTGCCTGTGTCCCAGGACTGAATTGTGGCCTCTTTGCCACTGCCAGGGCCAGCACCTCCCAGCTGTGCTGCCCTCCTTTGGAAGGGATGAGCTGCTGTCCTGATGGTCCTCAGGTCCTGCAAGATGCTCTGAAATCCTGTTCTAAGGGGGATAATCGATCCCTCTCTCCTCAGTGGTGCAGCGGGCTGGCTGGGAGGCTGGAGCAGCTTGGAGCCATTGCTCTGTTCCCATCGCTTTGAACCCACCACCCCGGCTAAATAGTTGGAGTGTTTCCCTCTCAAAAAGCGCCTGCATTTTAGAGTTTGGTAAATGTCAACTTAAAATCCTCCCTCTCTCCCGGGCGGAGGGACATCTCATGCTGCTTTTTCATCCCAAGTGCAGCAACCTTTGAGAGCCCAGGCTCCAGCCCTGAGTGTGGAGGGGAACCAAACGCTCTGTGGAATGTCCCGGCCTTGTCCTGTGGGGTGGCTCCGTCGCTGTTCAGGGGAGCGAGCACTTGGCTCTGTGAGTTATTACTGCACGGCCAGCGGCTCCCTGCGCCGGGGCTTCTTCCCCCCGCGGGCGCTGCTGCTGGGTTCGGCTGTTCTCGAGGAGGAGCCCGGCTGGGAGGTGTCTGCTGGATTTGGGTGTTTTTGGTGTTTTTGGTGTTAATTTCCCCAGACGCCGCGGCCGCTGCTGGAGGCGCTCTGTGCCGCCGGCTCCACTAGAGGGCGATGCGATCTGCGCGGGCCGGCCCGGCCCGGCCTGGGCCCCGCGGGGCTCAGCCCTCAGCGGGACCCAACCCTCAGCGGGACCCCGCGGGGCTCAGCCCTCAGCGGGGCTCAGCCCTCAGCAGGACCCCGCGGCCGCGGCCTGAGCCGCTCTGTTCAGTGCCACTGCAGAGACGAAACGGGACCGGGAATGTCACCGAAAAGCGGGGTAAAGCCCCAGGGACTCCCGAGCACTGCTGAGATGGCAAAGCAAAGGCGTGGGTGGGGGATGGATGACACGTCCCAGCACGTTCCTGCTGCGAGCAGAGGAGCCTGCCCTGGACACATCCCCAGGAGATGCCAGGGGTGATTGTTCTGTGCTCTGAGCGCAGTCCAGTGGGGAGGGAGGTGAGACAAGTTGTCTGTTCTCCCTGGGGTTTGTGGGGAGGTGGGTGCAGGGAGAACAGACAACTTGTTTTGTTGTTTTCATCGGGTCTGGGAGGTTGTATTTTACTCAAATATTGAAGATAGTAGGGGATCGGTTTCCTTTCCTGGTCTGGGTAAGGTTTGTTATAACATCACTCTGTTTTGAGACAGTGTGTGATGCAGTGTGGCTTTTCCTGGGAGTCCTGAGTTTCTTTTTTCGTTTTTGTTTTCTGAATGTGGTGGTTATCGGATTATCTGTGCTTCCTTACACATGACCAGGCACAACAGAACAAGCAGGAGTGGGCCCAGACCAAAATGGAGGCAGGGGAAACTCCAGACCAGTGACCAGACTAAGTGTGGGGTAGAGAGCTGGGTGGGTGACTGGGTTCCTTCACTGAAGAAAAGCTCCAGGCTTTGCCAATAGCCAGGCTAGCATTGGCAAGCAGCTGTGGCAGCTGGCCAGCAGCTGTGTGCTGTAGCTATGAAGTGCCCACACCTTTGGATATGGATTGTTGGCTGCAAGCTGATTGCTGCCCTGGCCCTTCTTCTACAGAGGGTCATTCTGCTCCGGGCCAAATGCTGTCCCAACTGTTACAGTGGCTGAATGACACTGCTTTTCTTTTGTGAAAAAAAGAGCAAGAAGATGACCTGAGGGAGTCTAGAGCTAAATATGGATTTGATGTTTAAGGCCAAGTCTCCTTAGAAGGTTCAGGGGATGTGCTTTGGCAGCAGATTAATGCTCCTACAGTGACTCTTGGCATTCTGGCCGCTCTGTCCACCTTGCTTTAGGCTGCCCATGCTGGGCTGGTCATTGTCCCCAGGGAAGGCTGTGGAGCAGTGTGAACCATGCTGGAGGGGCTGTGGGACCCTACCACGGCTCTTGGTGGCCAAAAAACTCTTGAGCTTAGGGTGGCCCTGGCTCTGCTCTAAGCTGATTTCTGGAATAGACAGAGCCAGCACTACGGGCTCCCTGTGGGGGAGGCAACTGTGCTGGAAACTGCACCCGTTAAATTTAACATGGAACCTGCTGCAAGGTGGCATATCAATAAAAAATGTGAATTGCTGACTTTGACACTCCCTCGCATGAAAACTGACCTTGGGAGATGATAAAATGCAGCTGTACTGAGGAGTGACCTAATGAAGTTTGACTTTAGTTATTCTAGGCTTTCTTCAACTTTTGGTAGGTGTTTTCACTGCACTAACACTGTTGTGACTTTCCTCTCCTCCTGCCCAACACCTTGGGCACGGGCATGTGGGACTTGGTGACCCCTTCCAGAAGGCTGTCAAGAAAGCAAAATTAATTCCAGCTCAGTACATTATGTCATTTTGTTTTTCTTCTGTGGTTTATTTTTCTTTAATTTCATCTGCTCCAAATTTGGTTACGCAGAAATTTCCACTTCAACCCAATCTGTGAGTTTTTGACAGACAGGCTTATTTAAGACCTACAGCTGGAAGAAGTAATTAAGGTTTCACTGAAATGCAACTTCTTGACCTAAGGCAAAAATACTAAATTTCAACTTAGTTTTACTTTATAATCTCAGCTTCAGCTTCATAGCTGTGTAACATTTTATTGCTGATGGTGGGAACAGGGCTCTTGTATCCTCCTTTTGTTTTTGTAGTGGAAGTTCACAGAGGTATAAAGAGCTCCTGAGAACCCATTTCCCTCTTTTCACAAAGCAAAGCCTGTGGTGGGGGCAAATATATATATATTTTCTATTTAGGGTGCTGCAAACAAGCACTTTTAAATGTTTCTTTCCACTCTAGGACTGGTGGGTAAGGTGGCCAGGGTTTGTCCTTTTTTTCACCAGGGCTGGGATAAATTGTCTCATGATGCCTGAATTTTGTATTGCTGAGCTGAGCTTTGGAGTTTCCAGCCTTCAAACACACTGTGAATAGGTATGGGAAGGGAAGCTGTGCCTTGCCTGCATCTCCCCGAGACCAATTTCCATGCCAGAGCTGGGGGGAGGTTTAGGCCTGGCTCAGAGAGAGGGTGTGTAAAACTCACACTACAGCTGCCTGGAAATATGGCCAAATGGGAATATACCCAAACCTCTTAAAAATCAATAAAGCAAGAAAGTAGTGTGGGATCTTTAGAAAATCAGATGCTCCCATTTTGTCATAGAAGAGCATTCTACACTGTCTTTTTATTAACTTGCAGGCATTCTTGAACAGCCTTCTGTTGTCACCCCTACTTCTTCCCCCTCAACCTTTCTAAAGGTTTTCCTGGAAAGAGTGGACAAGGAAATGGCTGATGCTCAATGGAAAACTAAAAGCCAACTGTTTTAGAATGACTTACAGGAACAAACCTTGCTCTATTTGTCTGGGAAAACTTTACTTCTTTAACTCTCTTGGATGAATCACTGCTGTTAGCAGGAAAGCACTGCTGGTCTTGTCTCTACTGCATCCTCTGGCACCTGTACCTCATCTCCAGAATATGTGCTGTTAATCCTATCTGGAGCCTGTTACTGCCTTAGAATTCTCCCTTTTTGGCTGGACAGGGTTGCTGCTACTGTTTATTAACAAGCACAGTTAAAATACGCTGCTGCTTTTTGCCTTGTGCCATGATGCAGATTTGTCTGGCCCCAGCACCAGGAGCTGGATGAGAGGAGAGCCACGAGCTTGGTTTTCAGTGCAGTGAATAGCTGCTCCTGGAGCCTGGATCATTGCTGTCACAACCCCCTTGTGACTGCAGAGCAGTGGTACAGCAGGAGCTCCTGCTGCACATCCACAGGGGCTTAAAACATTCTGACAAGTAAACTGTATGGGCTGGCTTGATGCACGATCAGATAGAGTTTGTCAGGGCTGCTCCAGCCTCATGGTTCATTGGAAATTTCCCATCTTCCCACAGCTGGCATGGTCCTGGCACGTAGCTCCCAGCCAGCTGCAGTGCTCACGGAAATCCAGGCCCCCTGTGCTTGTACCTGACTAAGACAGGTTTGGACTGCGGGGGGACTTGCTGGTGCTCACACCTGGTGAGGGTGATGCCATGGCTGGAGTGAACAAGGCCTGTTCCACCCTGCAGCTGGCAAATACTGTGAAGGAACAATATTTTAGGTGGGCAGGGATGTAGATCCCAGGGGGACTGCCAAACCCAGCCCAGGCAAAACTTTGCTGAGGCATAGATCACTGACCCTGACCTGGGGAGGAGCTGGTGTGGTTCTCAGCCTTCATGAGCACAGAGGCAGCTGAAGGGGTGTAGCTCAAGCCTGGAGGATCTATCCCTGTCGGAATCAGAAGTGCAGTATTTGTGGAAGAGGAGATGGATTGTGTTTGCTCAGCAGTCCTAGGGGAAGCTGTGTCCTGGGGAGTAGACAGTAGGAGGCAAAGGGAAAAACAGAAAGCCATTTAAAGGAGTCCTTCATTCACTGCCTGTGCTGTGAGGTCAGCAAGGAGGCTGTTTGGGAGCTTATGGCACTGCTGCTGCATTGTGGCATTTGCTAACACAGCTTCTAAATCCAAGGTGGGGGGGGGGGAGAGAAAGAAAATTAAAAATAAACTGAAAATTTTGGTTTAATAGAAAATAAAATCTGTTAGATGCAAAAAATGGGAATAACTTTCTCTCTGTCAAAATACTTTTTGATACAGTTTTGTGGGCAGACTGCTTCATTTTCGTTCGTTTTGCAATTAAAAAAAAGCGCCCGGCTTCTCACCGGGGCTGGCTCTGGCAATATCCCTCAGTGACGCATTTGCAGTTGGCAGGGGAAGGAGGGAGAAGGTTCATGTGGGGTCAAACACATCCCAAACGGGTGTTCCTCCAAGCGGGAAGAGCTGCAGTGCAGAGATGCAGCTGCGGTGGCTCGTTGTCCTTGGAAAGGCCCTGCAGGGCTGGGGAGGGACAATAGTGTTCCTGTGCCAGCTTCCATGTGTATTCAGCAGAGCCCTTCTCTGGGTTTTGGTCCCACTGGCTCCCTGTGGGCTCCTTGTGGTTTGAGGAGGGGCTGTGATGAGCTGGGGCAAATCTTTCTGCCAGGGCTGTTCTCTGTGGGCTTTGGGTGATGCTCAGGTAGAGTTGGCCGTGTGTTTACATGTCTCAACACCCAGCTCCTCAGTGACCTCCCAGAAGAGTGATACCTGCTCTTCCCTACAGCCTTTAGGGCAGCTGGGAAAGAGGCAATGTCTGGGTGTCACAAGCAGTGCTGGCTAAAACCCAGTGTTTGTGTTCCCTTCCTGTGTCCTCAGGTGGATTTATGTGTATGAGCCACACTGCTACTGCCAGATAAGTGATGGCTCAATGTTTCAAAAAATCTACTTTTCTTGTTCTAAATGATTTCCAAACAGGAGCTAATTGGCTAGGCAATTCCCCTTGTACCAGAGAGTTCATCTTCCCATGTTCAGCACAGGGTCTAGTCCAGTAGTAGGGCTTTGGTTGCTTTGGCAAACAGCGATGATCAGGAGGAAGAGTGACAGTG